TAAATTTAATCAAATAGAAAATTAATTAAGATCCAAGGGTAAGCCTTGATGATCTGATTTTAAAATTAAGTGAATTTAAGTTTCAAATGGTTTAAATTTATTTAAGAAAAGATTTAGTATTTTAATGATATTAGTGAGCTTATGATTGCTGTTATGTTTTAGGTGATGAAGCTGGGACAACTGATGATTTTATGATTACTAACAGTTTATTGTCATGCTACTAATTTTTGTTTTGATTTTCAATAAATATTTTCCAAACATGTTTTATAGAATACTGCAGAATTTTAGAAAAACGATCTGAGATCTTTTTATCAATCGTTATTGTATATTAATATTTTTGTTTAGCGCCTGAAATGATCATGAAGATTGACTTCAAGATTTAAGTTTGCAAATGAAAATCTAAATTCATTGCTAATAAGATTCTAAATATAAAAGTTTGTGTTGGCTTTTGCCGTACTATCATATAACTATTTGGTAAGTTTCTACTTTGTCGTATGTCGTCTCTGGTTCGAGGTCTTCTTCCAATTCCGGGTAGTTCTATTATCGTTCGGAATATTGGCTCTGATCTATTGAGTCGTAGAGACATTTCGATTAAATTATCGTCGTGTAACATTTTAAAAATGTTCTGTCTAAATTCTAATCTTTTTTTGGTTAGTTCTAAGCTATAAGGTCTTGTTCGAGACTTATGGTTGCACCAGATGAGTTATAACCGATGGTCTTAACTCATAGAGTAATTTCGGATAGGGTACACCGTCTGCTCGTCACGCTATCTTATTTTCGGCCTGATAGATTCGTGCAACTTCTTAGTCTAATACCGATCCTAATCTTACTCTTATACTATTCTAGTCTCAGGTTGTTTAACTAGTCTCTGCTAGGCTCAATAGATCTAGGGTATACTGGTTTATTGCGGCTGCTGAAGTTCTCTTGGAGAGGCAACTAATTTCTAAGTTAAATTCAAATCTCTCTGGTGCTGAAATTACAAGTAATTTCAGCACTTACAAATAAGTGGGTTGTTAGTTAGATGGATCATGATTGGTTAATATTGAATACTTTACAGTGGTAAATTATCTAATTTATCCAATCATAAAATGTAGTTTAGATCAGGTTCCACTACGATTCGTGGAGTCGTTGTTTCTGCAATTAGCTGATGTTCTATGAAAGGCTATCAGCCAGTCTAAGCATAGCCTGCTTCTGTTATTTCCCCGCATTACAGACTGAGTTATAATGGTTTTATAATTTCGTGAAACTTTATTCGAACTTTTATTGTATTGCTAAAGGAGAGGAACAAAGTTTCCTTTCGTGGATTTATGCGACAGGCGTGATTGTGACCTTTCTTCCACACTTTTGCGTGTAAAAACAAAGGATATTGCCAACATAATTGAGACTGTTGGATATATGCTTTGATGATAGCGAAAGTTTACTTTGCATGTTGATCGATTTGAGGCCCTCCGGTTCCCAAAAAAGCATTTTAAAAAATTATCAAAGGTATCAAAAACTACGCTCTATTCCGGTATGAAAAAATTCATATACAAAAACTTGGATTTATATAAAATCCTTCAGACCGTAGGATGTAAATTGGAAGAAGTTTTTTGGCACCATTTCCAAAAACGTTACTTTCATAAATGTCATTAGTAAAAGTTAACGAAAATGCGGTAAAACGAAAACGAAATATTTTCATTGCTGTTAGCTTTTGGCGATCCTTATTAACTTTTTTAATACAATATTTGCATGCTCAGAGGAATTCTACTATGTAATAATTGAAAATGAGCTGCTTATTAAACTGAATCTGTTTTTTTTTCTGCTTTTTGGAATTTGCTGTATTATGGTATATTATGGAGAAAATTTAGGACATATTTTGTTTTTTCTCTTTTAGTTATTTGCTGCAGAAAACTGAGAAAAATGGGGTTTGTTAATTGGTTTTTATTGACTCTTCATCAAAATTCCTGCTGCTCTATTAAAACTTCTGTCCCATCAGCCAGGTTCTGTCAATTCCGCTTCCAAAATTTTACTGGGCCTGGTAATAAGCTTTTTGTTACGACTTTCGTAACGAAAGAAACGGAATATTTGTGCTCGGGGTGGGTTGTTTTTCTTCTTCAGACAAATTTCGACTTTTTAACTAGCCATTTTTGACATGATTTTTTATATCATTCAAATGGTATTGTTCTCCTGAGCTTAAATTTGAAATGATATTTCACCTGTGATTATTTTTCGTAAAGTTATAGGGGTGTAACGCCATTTTGGTCAATTTGGGACAATTAACGCGCCATAATTGATTTGTTACTATGATGCGAAATCTGTCACTTTGAATTTTATATTACGTGTGGTGGATAATTTTCACAAAAAAGGTTTTCATTTTGATTTATTTTATTTTAGTTTTTCATGTTAGTACTGCTCCATAGACCATAAGTGGCAGTCAGAACTTTCAGGGCCTTGCCCTGATACAAGCAGTCATGCTCCATTTTGTGTGTTTTTTAAAAGCTACTTCTGTCCGTTTTCCTGCCTGTGTAGCTTGTGTTATTTCTTAGAGCTGTAATTATTATGGTTAATAGTGTTTAATTATTATTACTAAAATTAGTATGATGCTTTTCCAACCATTTAACGAAAAGATGGGAAGGAACTAAGAGTGGACTTGAAAAACAAAGAACAAAAAAGAATTTTTTTTGCTTTGAAAAAAAAAACGTGTTTTTTCAATTTTAAACGAACAATTTTTCTCATTTTTTTTTGTTTTTAGAATTTTATTCAGTTTAATTTAAAAAGTTGTTTATTATGTCAACAAAAGTTTTTGAGCTATCAAAAATTTTTGTCCCAAACTTTTTTCGTTTCATTAAACTTTTTTTAAAAGTATTTCATATTAGTGTGATAATTAAATTACTCTTTCTTGAAGCTTATATTTGATGAAAAACCTGGTGGATTTTTTGTTTTTCTGCTGCTTTGAGGAAAAAATTCTGAAATTTGTGGAAAAACGATCCACGAGGTTTTTTTCTCTCAGTTTTAAAAGTTAAAACAGAAGAGCACAGCTTTGGCTTCTATTGGGCTTTTTTATTTTGGTTTAAATAAGTTTTATCCAGAGTCTGTCTTCTGTATTACAAAATTACATTTAGTTTTTATCCTAAGTTTTTTTTCATGATCATTAGTTTCACGATTAAAGATGTGAGTCTCATCTATATACAATACATTTATTTGTTGTTATGACTATGGTTACATTTTTTTATGATTCTCAGTAATTTTTTTAACTTTCAGTACTATCAATTTTATTGATATTTTGATTGCTTATTCTTTGTCGAACATAACTAATATGGATTTATGTTGCACGTTGGATTTGTTCTATCAATGTTAACCTCAAAAAAAAGCTTCCAGTTATCAAACCATTTAATAAAAAATTGTCTCAGTGTCCAAAAATGCACCAACTTTTTCGAGAATCCGATTTTTCAGATTACTTTGGCTACACATTTTAGAGTTTATATAATTAAATTGCTTTTTATCAAATATTGCTTATTTAAAAACTATTTTATGAAATGATTTGTATTTTTTTAAATTCTTCACTTGGATCATTGTCTTTGAATTATTCTCTGACCATTTTACAGCATTTGGCTATTCTAACTTTTTATCAAAAAAACATTTGATGGCTATTTCGCTGCATAGCATTGGCAGTTGAAAGCATCGGTTGTTTCTGATTTAGGTGGCTGTTTCCATTTTAAATTGATCATTACGGAGATGTGAGAACGTGTGATTCAAAGTCTCCTGGTTTGGTGACAGGACAAAATATCCCATACCCATATATCCTAATGGACACAATAGCTCATACCACTAGAGCCCACATCAATTAAAATATCCCATAAAGGATTAAAAATTTATTGTTCCGACTTTCGATACGAAAGTAACGGAATATTTGTGCTCGGGGTGGGTTTTTTTTCTTCGACTTATTAACAAATTTCGACTTTTTAACTAGCCATTTTTGACGGAATTTTTTTTACATCACTCGAAAGGTAATGTTGTCTTGAGCTCAAATTTGAATTTGAAAAGATATTTCACCTGTGATCGTTTTTCGTAAAGTTACGAGGGTTTAAAGATTGCCATTTTGGCCAATTTGGGACAATTAACGCGCGATATATTTCGCGCTATTAACGCGTAAGCGGAGAGTTAATACTTCTTAAGAATCGTTCCAAATTGATTAAAAGAAGCTTATTTGCCATAATTGGTTTTTTACAAGGAGCGAAATCTATCCTTTTGTACTTTGTATGGCGTGTGGGGGATGATTTTCATAAAAAATTTCAAAGTTTAGAAAACTTTTTTTTTTATTTTGTTTTATTTCATTGAATTTTTAAAGGTTATTACTGCTCCATAAACCTCTGCTTCGCCCTGATACGAGCAGTCTTGTTTATGATATAGATTGCCAAAGATTGGTGCATATATCTATATCGCAATTAAAAAGAGACTGCCTCAATTATTTCGAGACGCCATATAGAGATAGTGCCAATGGTAAAAGACTCTTTTCTAGGAATTAATTTTTTTTCAACCTGGTAATGGAGTCATAATTGAAATAATTCTGATTATGAAAGACAACGCAAAGACTGGGATAACTTCGCCTGGGATAAAAAGGTAAGGGATAATTTGTCATGAAACCCGCTGCGATATCGGCTTATAGCTTTTTCAGGCTTTTATTTTTTCCCTTATTTCACTTTTTTCTACTAATTTAGAGATATTTTTGCCATTTTCTTGCTTAAGTTTGCGGAACGTTTTACATAGGTATGACTTTTTGCAGATTTAGCTCTAATCAAGTTGCTCATTAGTTGAGGCAGCCTCTTCGAGGCAAAAAGATAAGTTTAGCTCAAGCTGTGACGATTCTGGGACATGAACTTGTTTTTTTCTGTTTTTTATTCAATTTTCTAAAATTTGTTCTTAAGTTTGTCAATATTACAAATTGAATGTAGCACGAGTAGTGCAAATCTAAAATACAGACGCATAGAATAAAATATTTGACTCTTAATCATACTATCGATTCAATTTTTCAACTGTTATTAACATGATTAAAAATATTGTTTGTATACTGTGTTTATCTATGAGATTAATTTACTATAGAAATTCAGTTCATCGATCGTACTTTTTGTGTCATTATCGAGTTATTATACTGTTGATTTTTTTCTTGATCTTTTTGGCTCTAAGTGATGGCGTCTGATACTGAAAACGACAATTGCGTCCCTCTGTTGAAGTCCGGTGAAAATTTGTCGTACGGGTCAGGACCTGGAAAACAGGCGAGCCATCTTTCTTTCAAAGGAGGATTTGCACAATGTAGTCATTGATTTCAAGCTCAAATTTTCACTATTTGATTTTATAAGCAAATTGAATGAGTCTTATTTCACATCGTGGTCCAAAATTGGAAATGGTGGCAAGTGGCCACAAGCTACAATTGTTGGTAATTAGAAAAGCGACAATTCGTTGATAGGTAATTTAATCCGGATTCTTAACTTAGTAGATCCATAGTAGAGAAACATTCCATGTCCACTTCTACACCCCACTTGGTCAGTTCACATTGCTAAATTTAATCATTTCCAATTACATTAAGATTATTAAGACCATTTATCCCCGAGGGAAAGGACCAACACAAGAGCTGTGCAGCTCATCACGGCGAACCGCTGTTGTGCCCCCTGTTTAAGAACTACATGCAATTTTTTAACAATTACATATAACTGTTACGGACAATTTCTTTTCGACGAAATTGTTCGCTCGTCGAAATGCTACCAATTGTCGCATGCGACCAATTGCCCTTTGCGACAAATTGTCGCCCCCCCCCAAAAAGACACTTTGAAATAGGCGTGGAGCTAAGCACCAATAGTTCATAACGTCTTAAATAATGCATTCAGCAGTACATCAAAACCACTCACCAAACGCAGGATCCCCCTGCGTTGATTTTGTTCTCAGATCCATTTTTGCTTTACCAGATCTAAAAGGTCGCCAAAATAAACTAAATTTCAGGGAAAGGGGCGAGTGTTGAAAAATGAGGGGTGTTGAAACTGCGACCAAGTTAAGTAAATGTGAGTAGGTTTAGAAATGTGAATAATACAGAGTCATTCTAAAGGATTTTAAATCGATTATAATCGATTATTTTTGTTTTTTACAAAACAGTGGATTTTAATGGCTTTTTTGAAAACGAAAACAGATTATAATCGATTGTTATCCCTGGAACCTCAGAGCGGGTAGTTGAGCGCCAAAAACTGATTTATATGCACTTTTCCTCTATGCACGGAAGAGCGAGCGGTCCCTTTTTTGCCAAGGCCGGGCTTGAAATTATCGTTCTAATTTTTTGTTTATGTTGATTCTGCTAAAAAACTGATCAGCTAAAAAACTGTCCTGCTAAGAACCGGTCAGGTAAAATATATAGCCCTCGCTCTTCTAGTAATCTGGATAAAGCATCTAAAATTGACAAAAATGAAGATTGAGTTTGATTTCAAAATTGCAGATGACGACGAGTTTACAGTAGAAGAACTGACAAACAAAATTGGTGTCGGAAAATGGCAAGTTCTCGCAGTTTGTTCAATCATTCTCGGTTTGCTCGCAGAAAATGTTGCTATTCAGAGCCAGCCCTTCTTATCAACGAGGCTGTATGTCGAAATGGATTTAACACCTGAGACTGAAGGTGGCCTTAGGACTTTTAGCAGACAGGAGCACTTGAGGACTGAAACTTATCGTCAATTTTTGTTGATCGAATAATATAAAACAAGTTTCATTTACAAAATAGAAAAAAGTTAATCGGTTTTATGTTTGTCGATATACCATCAATAACAGTTCTGCTAAAAATCCTTTCGCTATCAAAAGGCTTTCTAAGTGCTGCCAATTTCGCTGGTTTCTCAATTGGAAATATTGCATGGGGTTTTGTTGCAGATAGGTTTGGGCGAAAAGTTTACACAATTAGCATGTACTGGATTTGTTATTGTGTTTAACCTGCTTATTTGTGTGGTTCCCAATATCTACTCAATTATTGTCTGCAGAATATTAGTGTCCCTATCAAGAGGTGAGTTTTCAATTTGTAAAAACATCCTATAAAATGTTAACATGAAAAGTTAAGTTTCAAAGACGACATTTTTCAAAAAAAGGCTTAGAGCAGTACCCTGAAATTCGGACTTTTTCCTGTCAGAACACTACAACTGCTTCAATTTCACTCGTATCAAAAGATAAAAATTAAAATTAGGACGAGGATAAACAAGACAGCCAAAAATAGCTGAAAAACATGCTTGTAAGCTTGCAATAAACCGCTTGTTCAATAAAACGAACATTAAAGACAAACAAGAAGTCGATATCTTCAATGGGATGTTAGAAAAATATCTGTTGAAAATTATTATTTCGATCGGTGAAAATTGACTGAATAAAAAAACACACCGAGCATAAATATTCCGTTTTCTCCGAAAGTCGGAACAAAAAGTTTTAAAATCAAAGGCTGAAAAAAGAACAAGAAAAGAAAATTCTTCTGAACACAGAAATAGTGGCCAGCCACGCCCAGACTTTTAAGGGCCTGAACCGAACTTTGATTGTCGCGTGTGCTGCATGATGTCCGCCGCTCTCCTCGTCTTGCGAGCGTGTAGTGTTGCATATGATTCACTTACTTCAGTGTGATATTCCTGAACTAATAACTGAACTAATAATGCGGTTGAATTAGTAGTAAAGTCAATAAGTAAAAATGGAACAAGGAATGGTAAGTAACTATAATCTCTCAATAGTTAACGAAGAGTGAATCTTTAGCTTTAGCACCGCAAATCTGTTAAACGATATACATGATTGACAGGTCTCTAATTCATAGTGATCGGGTGACCTCTAACATGATACATAAATTCAACCTAATGTCCTCAACACTAGGTGGTCAACTCCCTACCACCACATTTCCCCCTCTAGGAAAATTTCATACAACGTATGAAATTCAAATTCACAATAAACAACAAAAATAAATCAACGAGTCTGAGAGTTTAAGATTTCAGGGAGCTTTCATTCCCTGTACTTGTTCTGGCTTGAGTACCGCGAACTTTGCTCTTCTTAGTTTCCTCCTTGGTGACGGTGACGGTGTGATTCCTGACGATGACGGAACATCTCCTGGTGAATTTGGAATAGTTTGAATTTTCTCCTCCCCCGATTTCTCTTCTATATTCCTAACTGAATGTTTCAGTGAACTTCCAAAAAAGTGTGTTTGCCGCTTTTTTCTGCCCGATGATCTATTCGAACTGCTTGAAACTTGTGAGTATTTGTCTCAATTTCCGCTTCTTTTCTCTCTTCTCTTCTCGTGTCTTGGATTATCTAAGGTTTTGTTTTCGTCTGATTTCTGTTCTGCCCTCACTGAAGTTGTTACCAAGCTTGTTGCGTCTGTCTCCCCTTCCTCACTCGGTGAAGTTATCAACTTCTCCGCTACTGGGACCGTCAAAATCGGGCATGCCTCTGTGTTGCTTTGGATCTCCTGCCATTTCTCTGTTATCGGTGCTGAAGATATCGGCTGAAGAAATCGTGTTCTGGGGAACTGCTCGAGGAAATAGTCAAGTCTTTGACTCCACCACTTGGAACTCCTCGGAGTACATTTGGCGAAGCTGTATATCTGGCCGCTAAAGTTGGTAAATTCGTCTTGGCTATCTTCGTCAGTGATGATTACAACTTCATCGTCTTGAATTGCAATCTATCTAGGTTCGCAAATGGTCCCTCCTTGTTTTCCGTGTCCGAGTTTTCCGTCGACGATGATACCGGTGAAACATCTGGCCTTGGCAAAATGTGTACTGGTGGTCTGTTGGTTTGCTCGAGCTGCACTGATGTAACAGCTTCATCGGCGTGCTTGCAGCTGGTGTCTTTGAACCTAAATCTGAACAGTATACTAATTTGAATTTCGGCTTACATGATAAGTGTTTCTTTCTAATTACTTTTCTGTGACGTAGGTGTTGTTAGTGACATAGGTGTTGTTAGTAACTTTAACAGTTTTACCATTAAGCAATTTGAATAAAGGCCGAGGCAATTTTCTGTCTAAAATCTTCCGATATACAACCACTTTCTCCGGGTAGTGAAGAAAATCGAGTTCAAGGTTAAAAACAAAGCATTTGATGATTGGACAAAGAGAATCTGACGCCAGAAATGCTGGTCTAAATCTTCATTATTTCATTCCTACTCGCTTATTCGAATTGATATTTGTTATCACATAGTTGATACTAAGAAAAACAAAACATTCGATACGAGCGAGCCCCTGGTTCTCTGAGCTAAACTGGTGCGACAGAAAATGAGAAGCATTCTTCCCGCATTGGCAAAAATAAGATTGCAATCGACTATAATCGATTTTTACACAGATTTTCTAGTAGTTAAAATTCGATTTATGTAACCCAATTAGACACTAAAACGGATAATATAGGGATTTTATACAGTTCAGAAAAATCGATTTTTTAGTCTGGAAAATGGATTTTTTTTGCGGTATAAAATCTGTATAGAATCTGTATAAAATCGATTATAATTGATTGTAATGCATTTTCTAAGAACGGAAAAAACAGTTTTTTTAGTCTAGAAAATGGATTTTTTTGCGGTATAAAATCTGTATAGAATCTGTATAAAATCGATTATAATCGATTGTAATGCATTTTCTAAGAACGGAAAAAACAGTTTTTTAATTTTAATTTTTTTTTACTCTTAGTACCATGACTCCAAACAAAATTTGAATTGAAACAAAACGACACAAGTTCAAGGAAAACATTGATATAAACAAGATTCGGTTACAAAAATATACAAAAAAAATCATGAGAATCATCAAAATAAACAAAATTTTGGGCAAAAACTATATGTTATAAATGGAGAAAAAGAAAATGAGTCAAAATAAATCAGATTTTGAGCTCAAGAATAAACAAAAAACATTTAAGAATTATCTATATAAACCAAAAATGGACAAAAAACATAGTATTAGGGAAGAAGGTAGCTGAAAATCAATTTTTGAGCTCAAAAACATGCAAGAAAAATGTAGAAAATATTTATTGTAAATCAGAGTTTGAGCGAAAACATATGTAACGATTCAAAAAAATTGTCAATATAAGCCAGATTTTGAGCTCGCAATTATGCAAAAAAATCATAAAAAATCATCATTGCAAGTCGGATCTTGGGCAAAAACATATTAAACAAATGAAGATAATGGTCATTATTAATCAAATTTTGGGCTCAAATCTATGCAATAAAATTTTAAAAAAAACTATCAAAGTGAATCAGATTTTTAGCAAAAACCAATGTATTATACGGAGATAACTAACAAAAAAATAAAACTAATTTGAACCTAACTGTTGTGATAAACTTTAATTGTTGTGATTAAATAGATTTGTTATGTTTGTGCCTGTTTGTGGAGCGCCCTTTGAGGGATTTTACAGACAGGTCTATCAAGTGGCTTTCTGTGGGGAAGGGGGAATCTGGAACTGGCTTGAGGAGTCTGGTGGTGCACCGCTGGACCTACTGAGCTCGGGTGAGATTGTTCCTTGTTTTTGATTTTTTAGTTCGATTTTAAAGTTTTAATTAATTCAATTTGCTGATTTATAAAATTCTCACTAACCGTTTATCATGGGCTAGTTAAACCCCCTTAAGTCCAGTCAAAATCCTTTTTTTAACCTTTACGCTGCGTCAAAATGAGGAAAAAACAACAAAGCGAGTACAATCAAAGATTGGATTAAAGGTGATTGTTGTTCTATTTAGTATCAGTTGTTGTAATATTTCTCTTAGCGAATCGAAGAAAACCCAATGGTTTCAATGTCCTTTATGTGTAAAATCTGTTAATAAAGCAACGATGAGTAATAATTCAGTGCTAGACAAATATGTTAACACAGCCATCTCAAATGTCAGAGTGCTCAAACGAGAACCAAAAGACTCGCGTGTTTCCTATACAAAACGATAATGTCCTTCCCGAACCGATCATCAGCAGGTCCGGATAAAGAAGTTCCTCAAATTTTTAAAGATCTTTTTAGTAGGTCGAATGACAGTGCAGGACTTAATTTTCTGAAACCGCTTACTGAGCTGAGAAACCTCATTGGAGATGGCAAAATAACCGAACCGCAAAGCTTATCGCCCTAAAAAAGATAGATGGAGAATTGAGACCAATTGACATAGACAAGACGCCGAGACGTATCGCGTCCAAATGCGCTGGAAACAAGGCCCTCTCCGAGCGTCAAAGGTTTTTCGTAAACGTATAGGTAGGATGCGGTACTGAGCGAGGAGCAGAAATATCTGCAAACTCATTTCGAAACCTAATTGAACGCGACGACAATCCAAAATGCACTGTTTTTTTAAAACTAGATTTTAAAAACGCCTTTAATTCTCTAAATGGAAAAATAAAGCTAAACATGTTTTTTCAACTCGCCCCGAATTGTATATTTACAACCATTGCGCGTATAGTAAACCTAGTACCTAGTTACCTTTTTTACGGAAGCTCTATCATAATGTCAGAACACGGCACTCAGCAAGGTGATCCTGAAGCCCCACCCTTTTTTGCAGAAACAATTCAGACACTTGTCAAACAATTGGAGTCGAAAATTAACATCTGGTATTTAGATGATGGATATTGAGCCGACGACTGTAAAATAGTACTCCGGGACCTCAAAAACATTCTGAATTCGGAACAAATTTACGGCCTGAGCTTGAACCCTGAGAAGTTCGAACTTTGTTTTTTTGGGACAGACTACGAGTACACAGTATAATTCAATCATAACACGATTTCGAAAAATATGTCCAAAAATAAAATTAAAAACAAAAGAGGAAATCCTCGTTTTAGGATCTCCAATCGGCCATTTTTGCCGAAAAGAATTGCTCGACGAAAAAATTAGGGAGCTTGGAAAAATCTCGGATGTCATTGACAAACTAGATTTTCATTATGGTTTTTAACTCCTGAAAAATTGCTTTAGCATGCCAAAACTCTTATGTTTCTTGCTTACGAGCCCTTTTTTGCAAAGTGATTTTTTGAAACGCTACGACAAATTACTTAGAAATTCGTTATACAAGGTCACTAATGTGAAAATTAATG